CTGACTTGTGAACCAAAATATCACTCCTCACGCAAACCCATCTCAGACCAAGGACGATGCATCGGGCCCAGCTTGAGCAGAAGACGATGCTGCCTGCACATTACAGTAATTTATAAAATGACTAATTGACGTCTGGAAACCGGAAATACCAACCCACCTCCGGAGGTGTCTTCGGCTGGGGGATGCCGGTGGCATCATCATCGAAGCTTGCCTGGCAAGAATCGGGCCGAAAGAATCAGTAGACTCCCAACGAATCCCTTGGGAGCCTTGTTGGCCTTCTTTCGGATCTCACGGGGCGGTGCCTGGCAGCTCAATCCATATCATGAGTCATAGCAGTAAGGATGCTCCGCCTTCGGTGTTGGACGTGAATCGGACCGAGGTGGGGCAGGATCCTGCCAGGTCAGCTGATTATCTGATTCATGATGGCAATGCAACTTACTTACTTAATTAATTAAGGCCACACTAGTCCTGAGGGCCCGGTGGATTGGCTGGTGGCGGCGGAGGTGGTGGTCCCGATGGCGCCGATGGTGGCCCAGGTGGTGTGTGGCCAGGTGGTGGATGGGATGGCTCCTGCAGGGTCTCTCTGTCACTTGAATTGAAATATCCGATTCATGCTCAGTTAGTTATTATCTGCAGCCCAGAATTATTATGTCACAGCACTCCTTCGGCGTTGCACTCGGGCCAGCAGCTGCACTCGGACCGGACCCCCATGCCTCATCAGGGAAAAGGCAGGCACAACCAAAAACACAAGCCAAACAGCATCCTTGCCCCAGCCAGGCCTCATCATCAGTGTCATCGCGCAAACTCGGGGCAGGGTCCTTTTTATAATCGGGCCTCTCGGACCGGCAGAACCTCATCTTCTCATTATAGAAGGAGATGAGGTTGTGAACCTGCCGCCGCCGCGCGGTTTCAACATCATCCCAGCGGCCTCTGCGCGGACCTCGATTCAGGTTTAGGGTTTTATCCATCCCTAGTAGCAAGGACGAAGCCCGTATTGCAGGGATGTTTGGTTCAGGGTTTACGCTCTCGCAAGTCGGACATGTCCAGACGAGGTTCGTAGATAGCAGGTCGGTTGACTACAGCACAACCCCAAAGGCCTATGAAGACAGCAGGGTTTAAGGTTAGCATTGGGTTACATTTTGAACAATCGGGCCCGAAACAACAGAACACAATTGTTGGAATCCAAGCTGCGGGTCGACTCGATCCCAGACGTCATGTGGCGAATATGTTCCAGGAGGTAGTCGGACCCTATGTGGTTTTCCCAGTACAGCCCCAGCAAGTCCTGACAATCAGTGCAGGCTCACAAGACTAAGAAGCTGTCTTTGAGTTGGATTTTTCACTAAAACAACCCAAATCCCTGCCATCTCCATCTAACCAAGAATCGGACCACGTGGTGGGATCGGTCACCTGGAGCTTGTGTAAGCACCAGGCAAGCCCGGGACAGTCGGACCACACTTCATCCATCGAAACCTGCTCACAATGGGCTTCCCAGTGGCGTGCCCCGTGGTCTCCCCGCTTGGGGGGCTTCCTGGGTCTGTTTTCATTTAAGCCCTTGGAAAATTATGTATGAATATGTTCCCTGGATAAGGTAATAAAAGACCAGAAAAATAAAAATTATCCCAAAGCACAACCCAGACACTGGTGGTGGCAAGAGCGGAAGTATTCCATGACCAGCTTCGTCTTTTCTGACCAGTACTTCCTGGGTTGTGGTCTTGGGGTCCTTTCATCTAACTGAACCATATTACTACTGGAGAAATAGAAACTCCCAAAACTCAAAGGTGCCGCCTAGTAGCGAAAAGTCGGGCCAGCGGTCATTCTTCTTGGTCATCTTGCGCAGCATGTGACTTGCCACCTCCTCCGCCAAGAATCGGGCCCAGGAGTTGCTGTGGTTCAGGATCGCCCACATCCTCATAACCAGGCCCCAGAAAGTTAAAACTGACCACATACACCAGGCCGAAAATTTTATAAAGTTCTCCCATAGGCAACCAAGCATCTCAACCCACGCCACCATATCTGCCCCCGTGGCATTCAAAGCCCATGCCACGGGGTAGTGGCATCGCTTCACCGATATTCGGACCTTGATTCGCCGATTGATTCATGTATTGCAGACATGCATACATCATGTGTATGCAAACACATAATGACATACCGTACCAAGGGTTGGGCCGCGTTGTTTTCGTCGGTATTCTCGACGTTCCAGGACAGCTCTCCGCTGCAATGTGCCAAGCTGCCCCATTTGGTGATTGGCCTCGGACCTGACAAACAAAAAGCAACGATCACCAAACTCTGTTGGGTCTGTCTCTTGAATAGAACCTGAGTGTAACGATTCGGGCCTGCGTCAAACGCCCTTTGAATAAAGTCTCCAGGGTACCGCTCGAAAGACAGCCGTGCCATTCCTGACAGAGACTGACAAGGAACTCTCATCAAGTTGCATAAGTTCGAACCAGCCCCAATGTCAAGCCGAAGCGGCTTCAGTCGGACCTTGAAGATGCGGTGGATGCTGGCGTTGTTCCTCAAAATACAGTCCCCTAGAAAGTGCACTCACTTCCAGCCACAGCGACTATCATGATCTCTGAAAATGGAAAGCCCAGCTGCAAGTGCCCTGGCACCGCCTTCAAGATGCACGTCGGCTTCTGAGATGTGGCCTCCGTTGAATGCTCAGGATCAATGGAATGTGCTGTGCTGCTGTGTGGTGGTTCAAGCCCAGATTAGCACAGATTTGCAGCAGAGAGTCTCAGCCAGCAGCAGAAGCTCGACCAAAGGACCCAGCCAAGGCAATGGCTTTCACAGGTCAATTTTGCTAAGACGTCTTAGCACTAAAGCTCCGCGATGCCTGGGTGGCTTAATTTATCAGGCAAGCATATGACTACTGGCATGATCAGCCAAGTTGCCATACAAGCTAAGAAGTCAGCACATCTGTCTGGACTCACTGCTGGATGCATGTTGTGAACGCTCAGACATGCATGGCTGAATTAGTTCAGGCAAGGATGTGACTATTGGCAGGATCTACCAGGTTGCATCTTGACATAACACACTGTACAGTGCTGAACTCGGGCCATGCATCAGTGAGTCAAGCTGTGCTCCCAAGCCATGCAAACTTCCACAACGAAAGAGCACGGACAAAGTGGTGCTTGTGCCTCAATCAGGAACTCGGGCCGATGATGTCGAGTCGGACCTGCAGACATTCAAAAGGACACCACATCAACAACATTTACCACTGCACATGAACAGCTGAGTTCAAGACCGGCTGATGATGGTGGCGAGGAAGACCACAAGTGTGCACATGTGCATGTGTGTGTGTCTATGTGTGTGTCTGTGCATGCAGAAGCGACCGACGAGGACGGACCTCGACTACTAATCCTGTTACTTGACACCCCCCTCCACTCGGACCACTACCACTGACTATAATGCTTACTATCCGATCACTACCTAATCCTACGACAAGCAACACACCCCACACCCCACCAATGATCACTCCAAACAAAGGGCACCCTGGTCTAGGGTCACCCTTTGCACTTCCCGATATTATATTATTGCAACATGGTATTTACTTATTGCAACATTGCGTATGCATGTATGTGCGTGGGTATATACAATGTATATACATACGCCTGCGTACATACACATGTGCATTTTTGCACATGCATACACATGCATGCATGATCATGCATGTAAGGGCAGTGGAATCTGTACCTCATTTTTCAGTCGCCTGCTTCGCAGACCCTACAAAAACGAAATTAACTAGCAGTGTCATGTCTGCTGTCTTTCTTTCCGACACTGTCGACACTTGTAGACTCCCGAAGATTTGGGCTACTGATATACCTCCGACAGCATACAACCACATGAAAAGCTTGCCGAAATTGAAGTGGTCACAAACATTCATCAGGTGTGCGGGTTTACCCGATTTGCGGGCCATAGTTCTGATACAGTATACGGCCGTAGTACATGGAGTGCCCAAAAGACCACACTTCGACAACCACCGACAGGACTTATGTAGGCGAACATCTTGTCGCAGCAGCAGCTCTGGTTTGAGCCCATGGCGCAAGAATCGAAAGAAGGAGACTAGAAATCCACGCAACCTACCGTAGGGCGTAGGGGCCGCAATGAGCAGCGTCGAATATTCTTGCCTGGCCCATGGTCACAAGTCCCGTGCTCTTTCTGCACTCTGGTTATTTCGGTTTCACTTGCTCTTCCACGGAACATCTCGTTTCCTTGGAACTGGTCAAAACTTGCGACCATTTTGCTTGAGCAGTGAGGGAGCTGCAAGGCAAATAGCTGATATCGCTGTTGGAAGGGGTATATCTCGCTCTACAGACTCAGCGCATGATGTCCAGGACATCTGACCAACGTCAGAAATGTTCAAAACAATTGAAATGTAGTCTGCCGCTGAGAAAAACATACTTGGATTCGGACCATGCTGTGCTGTATGGGGACTGCAAGGCAAGACTATGGCCATGCGACTATTCCTAACCAATGGAGCCACTTCTGGAACCGTAAGGTCCTAAACTTTTGCAGTCCACCTCAGGCACGCAGGTTTGTTTTGACTGCACGGAATGCGGACGGGGTTGCATGGGATTGCCTAATGGGCCTAAGAATTTCATCTTGCTTGTCCTACCCACCGAAACCTTGCGCGGTCGCGACATGCAGACAACGAAGCGAGGTTTGGCTCCGGCTTACTGGCATATGGCTGCAGAATCCCCGAATACTGGTACAACTTGCACCTCGCTTGGGCGCTGCCTCAACACCCACAGCAAACCTTAAAAGCTCACAAAATCTCACACAAGCACCCCGAGAGTCAATGAACAAAGTGTTGTCTTCGAACCTTGATACCCTTCAGGACCGAGACTGTGCCAAGGCCTTCGGGTGGACTACGTCTTCCAGGAAACAAATTTAGCGGTTCAGGATTTCAGGGTTGAGTTGAGGGCATTTGGGCTTATGCGAGGCAATGCTGAAAAAAAACATTCCGTCATTGCAAAACACAACTAGTTTGAGACGCTTGATTATTTTCCCGACCTTAGCTCAAGTGTCAGGATCGCCGCGGAGCCAGCTGCAGCAGCCTCTGCTAGGACCTCGAATGTGGAATGTGGACGGGAACAGATCGGGCTTACGGTCCGTAGGGTTGGGATTTCAGCTCGTTTGGTGTGCATGCCATGAGCCGGGCTTTCCGAACTTGAAGCGCTTTTGCCGGGCACAACATGTATGACGGCATGCGGAAAAGGCCCTAAGACCGGAACGACTGTTGCTCTGTGAAGGAATCAGCAGCAACAAGAAACAAACAGCGCTGCACGAAGGCCCTGCGTGACCGCACACGGCATGGCCGGACCAGAGTACGGGAGCATGGGCCTCAGGCTTGTTGATTTGGGAAGCCCCTGACTGTGGCCGGAAAACATGTGAACTCAAGCTTTCAAGGGCATTCTTGGCCGAACTCGGCGAGGAAGGCGGTTGTTAGCTTGTTTCCAAGACACCGAACTCGCCCATTGGGACCGGAATCCCTCGGCTTCCGTACGCGGTCCCCAGAGAAGCCCTACTAAAACAATTCTCTCCCAGCGGCAGCTGGAAGGTTGGATGGGCTGCCCAGGAACATCGCCTGCCAAAGTCGATTTGTTCGGATTACCCTCGGCCAGAAGGGTCTTTGAAACCCGAGCCCCTCATTGACAGAAATCCATATTCTGCTTTCGGCCACAGGCCCTTGACGGATATCCCAAGAGTGGAACACTCTGCAGCTGCCCTTTGAACGGGGGCACTTGCTGTTCGCTGCAAGTCAAAGCCCACCCATGCGATGCATCTCTCACTGGTGATGGCCCCGAAGAAACAAAGAAGATTACCTGATAGGAGCTGAAGCAAAGATGAAGCTAAGACAATCGGCGACACAAACTGCAAAAGCTCGACGGGAACTAGGAGGGGCAAGTCGGCTCAAACACGGAAGGCAGAACAAAGTTCCATGCTTATAATTTGATGCTGCTGGCATGCTGTTCCAATGTGCCGCGACCTGGAGATTAGGTTGTCTGCACATGTCGCATGCAGCTCCCTGCAGGAAGGGCCCAGCCCATGCAAGCCCCGAACACGCTTGAACCGACGAGCCCCCGACACCCGCCTGTGCTGCAGCATCCAGTGCAGCAGCATCGAGGCACCGTCTGTTTCGAGGCGACAATATGATCCGAAGCAGCACGACATCAACATTACGACGTCGGCGACGACGGCCAACTATGACGACAATGCGTGCGAGCAGCAGAACCACGAACGCGATGCTACGCACGGCTGCTGCGAGTCCTACTCCTACTCCCGTGGCTACGACAACGGCGAAGACTACAATGACGACGGCGACGACGACGACTACTACTACTTCTACTACTACTACTACTACTACTGCTACTACTACTCCTACTCCTACTCCTACTTCTACTCCTACTCCTACTCCTACTCCTACTCCCACTCCTACTCCTACTCCTACTCCTACTCCTACTGCTACTCTGCTACTGCTACTGCTACTGCTACTGCTACTGCTGATGCTACTGCTACTGCTACTGCTGCTGCTGCTACTGCTACTCCTGCTGCTACTACTACTACTACTGCTACTACTACTACTACTACTACTACTACTACTACTACTACTACTTCGACTACTACCACCAAGGAAAAATTCAAAGCTACTGTCCCTACCACTAGTCACGACTGCAACTGAACTCCTACGACTGCCCCCCGTACTCGTCCGCCTACTCCTGCTCCTAGTTCTACGTCTACAGGTACTACGACTGCGACTCTACGACTACCACTACCACCACGACTTCGACGACGACGACACTACGACTACGATTGCAACGACGCGACGACTGCTACTGCCACCATCTCTGCCAGTAGCACTGCCAGTACTAATGCTAGAGCTACTGCGACCATGAGCGATACCACTGCTGCTGGTACTGCTACCGCTGGCTTGACGACGACGATGACGACGACGACTACTACTACTACTACCGCTGCTGGTGATACATCCTACTGCCGGGGCTACAAGCTGCTTGTCCGGATTCGGAGCCGACGGCAACGCTATCTACCGCGCCCTATAATACCAATAAGTGGGCGCAGCGTCTTAACTCGTCAACCTCCTCAAAGCCCACCCCTAGATGCGCTGCTGTCAAACTATTTTTATATTTTCAATGAGGACATGCTGAGTAAAGGAGATCCCAATACTGAAGTTACAACAAATTGCGATACGTCCCTCCTCAATCTGCATGCAACGCCCAAGGCCGCCTCTCTTGTAGATGGCCAAGCAAGTCAACGGCCTGCACACCACGAGGCTCCGAGAGACCCTCGAGTGGCTTAAGTATACTGTGTACTGGAATCCCACCTCCATGGAAGGTTTTGAAGCTAAGGTTGAAAGGTGAAGATTCGACTGTCTGCAAAACCAATCCCCAATCCCAGATTCTGCATCATCACCTTTCAACTTTAACCTGAAACCTTCCGTGGGAAGTGGGATTCGGGATTGTTATGTCGAGGGTCTGTGCCCTAAAAGGCTCCTGCATCGGCAGTCGGGTTCCGGACGAATGGTTCGGGGCTGGCAGAGTTCAAGCTTGGGGCTATCAGGTCTGGGCGAGGGGGTCCAGATTTGTGCTTCAGTCTGAGACTTACGCAGACATGAGCACATTGGGCGTTGGCTCCATGGGGCCCTTCCTTCGGTAAAGAATCCGAAATCGCAGGTGCTTGTCATAGCGTGTTGACCTGATGAAGGGGTACGTGGTTTCGAGGACCAGATACAAGGTCCTGGAACTTCTGTTGCACTTACAAAAAACATCTTAGAACCGTTACGACATCCAAGGGATTGCTCTTTTTGGCTCACAGTCTCGGCCAAATCGGGGGTCTTGATTGCAAGAGGTCGAAGCCGAAAGCTCCAGTCACCGTCACCTTCATCATCTTGATCATCATCATCATCATCACCATCAATGTACGTCGCAGTTATTCCCATTAGTTGCTTTCAAGTAAACTTAAGTGCACGTTGCAGAAAGTCTGTGAACCTCTGCAAAGTGCTCCCTAAGCACTCAGAACCACCAGGTGGTGGTAGTAGTAGCGGAAGTCTACCACCTACTGATACCGCCTACTATACTCCTACTACTACTACTACTACTACTACTACTACTACTACTACTACTACTACTACTACTACTACTACTACTACTACTACTACTTGTACTACTAGTACGACTAGTACTACTAGTAGCACTAGTCCTATCACCACTACTAAAACCATATCTTGACATCCAGAACACCGCAGAGTTGTGGTACTCAAAAGCAGGCTCTCCACCTGGATCCATGCTGCCTGCCGGGCGCTCGAGTCAAGCCTGCGCCACAATTTGTGTCAATTTGGCTGGTCGAAGTCCAACAGACCGAGTCAGCAACACTCTGGCCTAAAAGCGAAAAGCTTTGAACGGCAGGAATAGGTAATTTTCCAGCGTGGAGCCGGCAAGCTCCAAGATCGAACCGAGCACCACGAGTCCTATCCTCTCTTCCTCTCGCTCTCTGCGAGCACCTCGCTTTCGGGTCTGCGTAGTCGTCGGCTAACTAGGTAGGAAAGCTAAAGGCACTGCAGATCCTCACAAAGCAACGCAGAAAATCGTAGATTGAGAACTTGCAGCAGTGATACTGCCCATACGGACATTTCCGACAACAGGTGTGGTCAAAAGCAACTATCGGCAATAGACGAAAAAAGTAGTAGGAGTCGTCGTCGTCGTCAGAGTAGTCGAAGCCGAAGCAGACGCTGTGGCTATAGCAGCAGTCTCAAGGCCTGACCTTTGGTTGAGCCGGCAGCCCCGCGAAAAGCGTCCGACCCTCACCTAAAGCACTGACTTTGAGCACTATCAAACAATCATCACAACGATGTGTCGAAATATGATCCTGCCAAAAAGGCTACACAGAAAAGAGGGAACCCAAAACGATTCGAAGACTAACACCACTGAATTAACTAAAAGGAATGGACTGAAGTAGCAAGGAGAGCTTCACATTAACGAGGATACTCTCATAAAGCGGGGTGCAACATTACTCTTTCAGGACTGTTGCAATAGCTGCCCTGCCCAACATCCAAAAACAACGCTCTGAGATCTCAAACCGTAAAACGGTTTATTCCAGCCGTGCAGCGCGCTGCTTACAGCCTCCTCGCCGGCATAAAGGCGCAACAGTGCTGTAGTGGCCAAGAGGTCCCTGGCAAATGGGCTAGAAATCGGTGCAAGCACAAAAACACGACAAGTACAAACCACGATGGTCTTACCTTTGTTCGGAACCTGCATCCTCCGCTTCAATGGGTAAACCCTGAGGACCAAGACTCAGGAACCCGACCAATGCTTTAGTAGAGCCTGCGGAACTGCAGCAACATCAACAAGAACAACAACGCAAACGCAAAGTACCAGCACCAGCAACACCAACAACATTTACTACTACTACTACTACTACTACTACTACTACTACTACTACTACTACTACTACTACTACTACTACTACTACTACGACTACGACTACGACTACGACTACGACTACGACGACGACGACGACGACGACGACGACGACGACGACGACTACTACTACGACGACTACTACTACTACTACTGCTACTACTACTACTACTACTACTACTACTACTACTACTACTACTACTACTACGACGACTACTACTACTACTACCACCATTACTACTACCGCTAGTGCTATCGCTACCGCTACTGCTGGATGGGGCGGGGGTGGGAAGGATTGGTTTCCAAGTGGACGCCAACCGTTGCAAGAACTCGAATCATAAGCCGTGCTGCAGAGTTCGCTTCCAGGTGCACGTGCAGCTGGCGATGGTGGTGTCGAACGAGACCGCATCCTGAGCCCGCAAGTGAAATCAGACCAGTCCCCATCAGCAGCATCGGACCGATACTGCAACACTATCTACGCAATCTCATCGGGCGTGTTGCGTAGTGCTGAGACCCCGTACGAAAACTACAAAAAAAGCTGCTTAGAGTTGGGATTTGGGCTGAAGCCCAAAGACTGGACATTTCAGTGCACAGCAATGATCAGAAAGCATGAAGAATCCTAGCCCGGCATCAGGCAAGACCTTAGAATCTGCTGTAGGGCATGAGTTGTGATGGGACGAATCCGAAACCCAAAACCTTGTTTCATACATGCCTGTCCACGGCTTTCGAGTGCATGAGGCCGCTGGGCTTCGCTTTGTCTTTCCGGGCTGAGGTCAGTGAGTTTTGTAGCATGAGGCTAAGGGAGTCTTGACTGCGAGGGCTTCAGGCAAAAGTCATGGAATTCAGAGATTCAGCTATTCACTTGCGAGGGCTAGGGCTTCCCCACAACCCCCGAATTGAAAACTCTGAGATTCTTGTCGGCCCATCCCGGAAAGTACTTCAGAATTGCTCTGCTAGAGGGCGAGAGGCAGTCTCCATGTTCCGAGCTAGAAGGACCTGCTGACACTGCGCCGATGGGTCAGGATCCAACCCGTCCCAGAAGCTGCGATAATCCAAAATAACAATGACGACAAGAACACCGACCATCAGGGCCACACAATCCACAGTAGTCGGGAGTTAGTCGGAAACGCTGTTGAAGACAAAACACCATCACGCATACCCGGTGACTGCCAGGCTCGGTAGCTCCAAAGTTGTGATTTGCACCAATGGCTTGGGTACAATGCTGTCACAGATTGGCCTCTGTGCGAGGAGGCTAGGCAGTAAGCTTCCACTGTGGGCCGCTTGCTACTGGCACTAGCATAAGAAAGCCGTCAGACATCTTCCTATTCTCGGCTTCCAAGTGGGCAGGTCCATGTTGAAGGGCACCCTGAATTTTCAGGCTCTGCTGGACGAAACCGCTCATGTCAAGGTGCCGGAAGACTGCCAAGATTGGCCCGACTCTGCTGCCAGCAACTCGAGACGAAAAGGATAGCCCTGCGGAGTATGGCTTCCGGGTCGCTGCGGAGCTGTCAGTGCAGCAACGGGTTGCGTTCCGACTTTTCAGGCCCAAGCGCCCAGAACCCTCGAGCCTCCAATGCAGGTTTCCAGCGCAAAGACCGGGCAGCGGCAGACAGTACAGCATTGACAACAATCGATGAAGACCTGTGCAGCAGCTTTATGGCTGCAGTCAGGGCTTTACGGTTTAAGGGGTCTGAAGCCTTCATGAGCAAGTGAAGTACCAAAACCAGACCTGACCTACAGTGAAGTTCCAAGCCTTCCTGCCTCGACACCGTGGCACAATTTCTTTCGCCGGGTCAACCCACGAAACACCAACAAAAACACCTTCACAAGAAACCCATGTTCAAACATTTCATTAAATTCAACTGTTTTCATTCATAACTGTAACAACGCTCTTGTCGGCCTAGGCGCTATGACAGACAACTTGCTACTGCGAAGGGAATCCGAGCCTTCCGGGCATTGACCAAAGGAGCCAAAGGGCCGAGATCCAGTCGTAGCCTTCCGAACTTCCGATGACTCCTACCAGTACCTCTACATCATGCTGTTCCCGAAGCCCTCAGACTCTAAATCATCCATAGTTACGGGCTCTTGGTGGCTTAAAAGAACATAAAACACCAAAACAAGGACTGCTTGGACCTTCATTTATTTGGACACGGCGGGAGTGCATCCACATGCCGCAACGTAAAATGGAAAGCCTTGACATGTTGAAGGGGTTTGGGGACAGATCGCTTTCTCATCTTCGCAACGCATACAGGGAGGCTGTTCGTGTAGGTTCGCCTTAGGATTGGAGGGTCCAACTGGTTACCACTGCCTTGTGCACAGGCTGCCGCTGCAGTGCCGCGGCCAAACCCTTCACCAAGGTCCACGAGGCACAAGCACCTGCAGATAGGCAAACCTCTTAACCACTCTCAGACTCTAGACGATTGTAAGCCAAGGCTCCAAGAGGTCAATGGCTTGTAAACAGAACTTCGGCTGCCAAAATTCTAAATGGGAGCTTCAGGAAACCAGAGATTCTAGCGTAGGCCCTTAAGAGTCGAATCATCCAAACTCGACAAAAACCGGAGCCCGAACTCAAAGAAGCCCTGCTTCGGGCTAAGGGTCTTCTAGCTGGGGATGCTCACTGAAGTCTTCAATTATTTGCCACGGCCCCGTAACGATCGGTGTACATTCAGCCAATTGGGACACTCCCGGCATAGTACAGGTTGCTCAGCGAACCCAAAGCCACGGCAGTACATTTATGCTCACCTCCAGGCCCATGCTGAACCCTACAGAGTTTCAGATAAGAATCAGATAGAGCCTGCTCGCTCGGCCTACACACCCCAAGCTTCAACCACGTGAAGCGACACCCGAAACAACTTGGAGATATGGAAGGTGAAGCTGCGGAAACCATAAACTTTGCAGTTGATTCGGCCTCTGCCAGTTGGAGCTGCGGCAGCCGGCGGCGGCTGCGTTTGCCTCAAAAGCCAGACAGATGCCGTGTGGTGTTGGCAGAGGCTCTGGGATTGCACGAAGAGTTCAAAGCCTCGGACCTTGTAGTATGAGTGGGCTGTACAGGCTTGCTGAGCTCGCAAAAATACAAACCCTTCCTGTTGTTGCTAGTCTGCCTAGCACTTCCAACTGAGCTCAGGGCGTGCTGCACGGTTCGCACATCCTAGCTTTCAGAAACTATTATTTCAGGTGTGAATGACGGTAGACCAGGCACACATACTGGTAGTTGTGCGGTGAAGAAGCAGTCGTGCAATAGTTGAAGTAAAAAAGCATGACGGGTGCTCCTTGAAAATCTTCACATGTCCAAACAAACATCATGTCCAACAAAACGACATCCTGAAAGTCCCAAGCTGGAGCCTTTCCATGTCTCTCGCCTCAAAAGGCGCAACAGCCCACACCAAAAACCTGTTCCTGCACACCCTCGAGACCCAAATCAGAATGCATACCCGGCAGGAAACCACACACAAAAAAAACACCTTACACCTGAAGTTAAGCCTGATAAGCGCTTAAATCCTCGAACAGACCCAGTAAGCCTTTCAAAGCCTAAATACACATGTAGAGACGGCCTCAAGCCCAATTAAGCACCGTCCTGCCTGCTCTGTAGACCCCTCAAGGCAGCGCAAAGGCATCGACTGAAGCAAACCTTCAACAACTTGTTTCACGCGTGGCGTATGGGCTGCACGGCTCGACTCGGATGCTTTAGGTGACAGGGCTTGCCTGAACCGAGTTTTGTAATTGAGCTCATATCTCGATGTGAGAAACCTGCATTGCTTTTATCCCTCTCGCACTGCTGGAAGCTATGTCCACAGGCGAGGTTGATTTGGGACAAAGACTTGTATTCAAGCCAGTAGGTTCTTGGACGTGGAAACATAGGTTCTGCAGACCTGCGGGACCAAGCCCCTCAGCAAAATCCTAAAGACCAAGCAGGCGTAGACTTTGCCGGCACGAAGTTAAGGGTCAGGTGTGCGACTGCAGGGCGTGGGAGTAAACAGCCAGTGGGCCACCGAAGCAGTTTTGCCATATACTTCGGAGACCGCAAAGCTTGCGGCTGCAGATGTCAGTCTCTCGCGATCAAAGGGTGGAAAGGCTTGCTTTAGGCCTCCTCGTCTTCAGGGCTTGCAGCATTCTCCGAAGCAATTTCACGCTGCATGATGGCATGGGTAAGCTGCAGTTGCTGTTGATGTTGTCGCTGCTGTCTGTGTTGCTGCTACTCTTGTTGTTGTTGGTGGTGATGGTGTCGTGTCGTTGTCGTTGTCGTCGTGGTGGTTTTGGTTGTGGTTGAGGTTGAGGTTGTGGTTGCGGCTGCAGTGGTGGTTGTCGGGATTCTTGCTCTTCTTGTTGTTGTGTTTTTGTTTTGGCTTGTTGCTGTTGTTTTTTGTTACTGGTGGTGGTGGTGGTGGTGGTGGTGGTGGTGGTGGTGGTGGTGGTGGTGGTGGTGGTGGTGGTGGTGGTGGCGGCGGTGGCGGTGGTGGAAGTGGTGATGGTGGCCGTGGTGGTGGCGGTGGTGCTGGCTTTGGTGCTGGTGGTGGTGCTGGTGGTGCTGCTGGTGCTGGTGCTGGTGCTGGTGCTGGTGCTGGTGCTGGTGCTGGTGCTGGTGCTGGTGCTGGTGCTGGTGCTGGTGCTGGTGCTGGTGGTGCTGGTGGTGCTGGTGCGTGGCTCTTCCTTGCTGGGGGTGGTGCTGCTGTCGCTGCCGCTGCCGTTGTGGTTGTGTTTGCGGTTGTTGTTGTTGTGGTTGCTGCTGTGTTGTGGCTATTGTGGTGGTTGTGGTTGTTGCGGCTGTTGTTGTGGTTGTGGTGGTTGTTTGCTTGAATGATTGTGGTTGTCGTCGTTGTTGTTGTTGTTGTTGTTGTTGGTGGTGGTGGTGGTGGTGGTGGTGGTGGTGGTGGTGCGGGTGGCTTGTCGGTTGTTGTTTGTTGGTTATTAAAGAATGCTGGTCGTTGATTTTTTGGACTTTTTGGTGTTGTTTAAATAGGATGTCTGTTTGGTGGTGGGTTGGTCGGTTGGTGGGTTGGCTTGTTTGTTTTGATTGTTTGTGTGTTCGTGTGTTTGCTTGTTTGTTTGGCTGGCTGGTTGGCTGATTGGCTGGTTGGTTGGCTGGTTGTTTGGTTGGTTGGTGTCCGCATGGGGAGCCGTCGGTAACAAGTAGTCTGCAGGTTTGGGCCACTGACCCCCCTCACCGACGAAGCTCGAAAGCTGTTGAACAACTATGGAGCGCAATAAGATCCGATGTTGCAACAAAAAATCGACCCGACGACCTCCGAAAACTCTCGTGCAACACACGACATCCTACATTGCTGATAACCGCTGGCCTCGGCAGTTGAACCCAACAATAAGATGATCTACCACCCTCCGAACCACAGAACACCCCAGTGTCCTCATAGCCCCGATAAAACTCAGGAAAAACAACGTAACCCCGAACTTGAGCCTAAATTCCTGCGGAGCCTAGGCCACGTTGCCAGGCTCTGCCGGTGGCCAAAGCAGATGTGGCCGAAAGAAGGGCGCGGCCGTGGGGTCGCAACGCCCATGCGGACAATGCCTCGATGAAGGGTTAGATATGACATCTCACTTCTAAGAATTTGGCCGAAAAGTTAGCATACAAAGTACGATCTTCATAGATGTTCGCGAGATGGCACGGCCTGATCTACGATCCCATCCAAGTGCCGTTCTAGATCATGGTCTCCTGGGCCCTCCGCTTAGAAACACGGCAGCACCTCACAATGAAAAGAACGCCAACGTTAACGTCACGCAAGAGCGGGTGTTCTGGGTCTTGCAAGTATAGCCCCAACATGCCCCAAGCGCAAATATTCATATACCAATGCTCCAATCCGGACAAGCCCGAAACCACTGTCTCCATCGCTCGCCAAGCCGCCACCAGCAAACAGATGCACAAAGCCCAACCCTGACAGGCGCACGCGGATGTTGTCGGACTTTCGTCAAGATTTACAGGGCTGCGCCAGTCCGGGCAGGTTGCTTTATTGACAGCTCGAGGGTTGGGGTCAGAGTTAGAGGTCCCACAAATTGTGATTTTTCTCCAGACCGATCATACACCAGCAGCAGCACGTGTTTTCTTTGGTTGCTTTTGGGGGAAAGCTCGTCGCCTGCAAACTCGCTCCATGCCACCTCAAGAACCCAAACTGTATCGAAGAACTCCCAAACATGAAAGTCCAACCGGCGACGAGCTACGACACCCCGACAGCTTGCGAAAGTTCCCGGAACAGCCCACTAGACCGCATGCAGCAAGTCGGAAACCCCTCTGACCAGTACTCCGAACTTGTTCTCTTTCCTTGAAACCGTCAGTCCCAGAACATCCCTCAGCTTTCTTGCTGCAAGCACAGCCCCACAACACAGCGGAAACGGCCGAACAAAGGATCCCAGCCCTGAGCATTCAACTTCGTTCCAAGGGTTACCATAGTTACTCATAATTTCACCATCCTCACCATCAGCTTGAGCAGAAGACCAGTGAGAAATTCGGGAGCCTCACAGTAGTCCCAACATCTTCCAGCCCCTGGACTCTAGACTAGCCGAGACCCAGGAACGAACCCCGACAGGTGTCTGCTGTTGCTAGAAAGCGACAGAAGCTCAGCAGAAAGAAACTCAGTGTTCCAGCAAGGGTTTCGGGATTCAGGCCGTCGACTAGACTAGACTAGACCCGACATCACTCCATCCCAAAAACAGCTCTTAAATAACCAGGCACATTCTGCGCCCTGTTGCACTAGTTTTTGCTGCCCGAATCCGAAGCTCCTGCCTGCTTGGTCTCGCCACTATCCATGGATGCAGAGACGACCTGACCCAATATACACTTTACACCTCCCTGATTGCCTGCAGCCACGAGAGCCTAGTGAAAGCGCTGGGTTTCCGACTCAGACCTATGACTGTGAGAATCTCGGCACCACCAAGGCACCTGTTGTTTATGTCTGCCTGCATACATGTTTAAGTCGTGCGTACGCAGCTGGACACGACTTGGAGCAGCATTCAACAACAAAAGTACGTGTTGCACCATCAAGAAGACAAGCTCGACATCACCCTCGTAGCCACCATCACCACCAGCACCAGCGGCATCATCGTCATCATCATAGTCATCGTCATCATCATCATCATCATCATCATGATCATGAGCCTCATCCTCATCGTGTTCAGCACCATCTTCATCATAAACAGAATCGACACTAGCATCATCAGCATCACCACCATCAACACCATCACCATGGGAACATCCTCATCAGAATCGAGGCAAGGGAAGTTCAATCGCAAGCAAGCGAACCGGCATTGTCATCGCCATACCACGATGGTCATCACAGTCGCCATCAGCTTCGCGGTCGTCGTCACCATCATCGTCATCATCAGCAGCACCAGCGTCATCACTGACATCATCAGCAGAAGCATCCGCCTCATGGTGACTAATTATGGTGATGAACATCATCACCACCATCGTCAGCCTCATTGTCATTGCCATGACCTGTACGATCCTATCTTTGAGCTGCAGAGGCCCGATGTCTATATTGCTACTGAAGAAATTCAGCACTAACATGCCAACGCCTCACAGGTCTCGTCTCCACTCCGAATCCGTCTTCGGAACGAGCTTTTCTGCCCTGCTTCTAAATCGTGGCTTCTGACCAGCTTTCCTTCGACTTCTGAAAACCCACACTACACTTACACGGCGCAAAACACACACACACACACACAGACAGGCCAAACGACGAGAAGCTAAGCAACAGGACTATGATTATGTAAGGACAACAGCCACAGGTAAGATCCTTCGCCACATGGTCCGCATGCTTGAACTGCAAGCTGGTAAAAAAAAAACATAAGTCAAGAATAACACTTATTACAGCCATCAGCTGCAAAGCACATCCTCGATGCACGCCCCTAAACCCTAAACTCTCAAACACTGAACTTCTTAAACCCACCTCCGAGTTTGGTACAATACCGCGAGCAGAAAGAGCGGTCAGCAGCGAGGCGGAGGCCTCCGCGTTGCTCTGCTTCCGTTTAGAAGAAGTTTCGGGCTAGGATTGAAGCTCCGGATGTTCAGGTAGGCTTTGTTAGCATGTAGGGTCCAGCGTTTCTCAGCGTTCTTCCTGGTT